GCTGCCACCCCAGGCCGAGGAGAGTGGCCACAACGGCACTGAGATGGCTGACCACATTGTTCCACCGCCTGGGCCGCTGGAGCTTGGCGACCACCTTGGGCCAGGCGAGCTCGATCCCATTCCTGAGGTGCGGCTGGGTCTCCACCAGCTCGAACCACATCTCAAAAATATTGACGCGATGGAAGATGGCGGGGTCCAGGGCCTCTGGCGGCAACTTCGACTGGTGGAGCCCTGCGGTGAGACAACTGCCTGGTTTACTGGTCCCCAGGGCCGCCCCTGCTGCTCTCCTGTGCTGGCTGAGCTCTGTCGGGGAGACCCCGTGGCCCTCAAGTCCCCAATGGAGCTGTGGCTTAGCCCCTGCACGATATAGACGATGAGCACTCTTGGTCACCCTCAGGAGCCTCTTAATGTTCTTGTGCCTCTTGAATCCCAGACGCTGCCGAGCCCTGCGAGCCTTTAAGTACCTGCGCTTGCCTACGGTGGAGTCCAACCCGAGGTCCCTGGTGCCCAGCTTGGTCTGCAGGGGGATCCCGTGGAGCTTGCAGGAGTCCTGGACCTGGTTCCTGATGTCATTGTCATTCGACAAGAGGGCCGACTTCGGGGATAACCTGCACCCAAGATCTACGAGCCCTGCTTTGATAAACTTCATAGCCTCGGGGAAGGACTGGAGCAGGGACGCGGCCGAGCCGACCATGCGGGCCCGCAGGTCGTCCACCCAGGTCCTGAGGGTGAGACGGCTGAACCTGAGATGCGCCTGATGGAGGAGGTCGTGCAACAGAACTCGCGTCCAAACCACGCGTTGGCCGCATCCCGCTAAGATACTGCGCTGGGGAATGATCGGGTGGCTGACCCCCATCTCCGCGGTGAGATATCGAACTGCTAGGTGGGTCATGATCCCCATACTTAGACAGATACTTGGGTACCCCACTTTTTTGGCCTTAGCCGCTAACACGTGGGTGAGGATGGTGCCATAGAATTTCTCTAGGTCCAAGAGCCCTTCGACAACTTTGATCTGGAGTTCCGTCCCCACTTCCGCAAAAAGTTCTGAAACGATGCCTGCGCGCAGACAGCTGGATCCTTTGATTGCCGCGTCCCAGTGTCCTGCCTTGGCCGCCTCCCACTTGCCGATCTCCCCCCTCCTCATCCTCATGCGCAGCCTGTAGAGGGAGGTGGTGGGCGTGATCGGCCTATCCGCCGTCGCGGTCTTCGGCTTGAGCGCTGCAAGGTTCCCTAAGCACTGGGCGGGCATCGACTGATTCTCTTCGATGGTGTTTAACATGCTCGTGAGCTCTGTGAGCCCTGGGCCTGGGAGTCGAACAAAATCTCGTACGCGCCACTGGTCCATGCCTGTGGCCGAGTGTCCTGGGAAAGATCTGATGGCCTTCAGAACCTCCTCCTCCGTCCAGGGGGCCTCCAGAGCCTTGTCCTCCATCGCCTCCTCCCGTATCTCCTGGATCCACGGGGCCGAGATGGGGTTCGTGGCCTGGATCTTCTGAGGGTCCCAGTACTGCTGCCAGAATTCGCTTTTGGCCTCAAGGATGTCGCTGGGGTCCATGAGGACCTCTTCTTCCAGGACCAGGTTGTCTGCCTCTTCGGGGGTGACCTCTACCTCCATCTCTCTGGTGAAGGCGTGGGCGGCTCCACCCCCTCGCTTGATGCTGGTCTCCAACCAGTCCGCGAAACCGTCCTGGGCCTGCTTCAGCGCGCGGGTCTCGTAAAACTGCACCTGCTGTTCTAGCAGGTCGTGCAAGGGGAAAGGCTCGCTGGACCTCTCCCTCAGGCTGTGCCAGAGCGCCCACTGCTGGTCATCCGCGAGGTTTGAGTCCCAATCTAGGTCGACGACGGTAGCCTCGATGAGCCTCTGGAGCCTCCGATGGTTGGGGCCTGTGGGGTCACGCTTCCTGGCAAGATCCCGTTCCCGAACTCTCTGCTGGATGGTGCTCCACCTTCGGCTCTCGGGGCCCCCCCTTGGTTCTGGAGGGTTGGGCTTGAAAGCCGCCCGCGTCTCCAGGCGGAAGGGTTGGGCCCGGGTTGGCCCTCCCAGGTCTGGAACCGAGCGCCACCACTCCAGGGCCTGCGAGAGGACGGCAAACCTATGCGTGAGGGTGTCGTCGACATGCGCTTGTGCTACGGGATGTAGGACCTCTGGAGCCTCGGGGAACTTCTGGAGAGCCAGGACCTGGAGCTCGTCCCACGGCCGCGGCGCCGCACCTAACATATTGACATCTGGGGCCTCCTCGGGGTACGTGCTGTGCTTGCTGCGAACCTCTACTTGAAACTCTCCTCGTAACCCAAGATGGGGCCTCCATGGACTGGTGCGATCTGGGGTGACCTGCATGAGCCTACCTAGCTTCTCAGACACCACGTAAAAGTCAATCACCCGCCCGTTGCAGGTGGAGTCTACCTTCGGCTCGACGAGGACCCCACCTATGGTCTTCACCCAGAGGCCCCCCTCCATGAGCTGCTTCCCTGTCATGTTCCAGTCCCCCCCGATGATAAAGGGCAGCTTGTGGGCTCTGAGGAAGGTGGCGATCTGGCTGGTCACTTGCGTATTGTACTCATTATATCCTGCATCACTTTGCAGATAAGTGGAAACCAAAATCAGGCTGTGCCCTCGAAGGCGGAGGTGGCAAGCTGTCCACCCTTGCCCACCGTAGAGGGGCTGGTCACGTCCTTTCGCCCCCATGATGCGGGCGTGGGAGCAGAGGCTGCGCAGGGCGAAGAGGCCTACCCCTCCATGAGACCCCGTCGCCGAAGTCCTGACAGCTGGGCAGACGTAGGACCTGTCCCCCTGCTTCTTCATGAATTTATGCACGTCACGCAGTTTATCTCGTTGAACGTGCATTTCACTAAACATAATGACATGCGGCCGCGCAAAATCGCTGGACTGAACGTAGTCCCTGGCCTTCTTGTGCCAGCTAGTGATGTTGGCGAGATACAGCATGAGTGGCTCCCCTCCTTGTTCTCCCCTCCCATCCTGGTCATCCTGGTGTCCTGCATCTCCCGCGGCACTGACACAGACGACGGACGGGTCAAAACTGACAAGGTCACTCTCACTGCTGTCGCTGAGGCTAATGATGTCATCCGGCTGGCTGATGACGAGACTAGTGAAACTTGCTATCGGCTGATCGTTGGTGAACATATGCTGGGCCCCATCTGCGGGGGGGCTGCTGGGCGCGTCTGTGCGCCCTGCTGCCGGCTCGGGGAGACGGTCAGTCCCTCTGGCCCCCGCCTGCGGCCCCCCCACGGCCCCTGGGCTCATTGCGGCTGCGGTGGGGAACGGGCGACTTGTCGGTCTTGCGACCACGCCTGCCATCGTCATCCGCTCCTCCCGCTGCGCTGGCTGCGGGCCCGCCAGCGGCGCCCTGGCGCGTGGGCGGCGGCCGCTTCGGCGGTGGTGCCTTCCCCGCCTTGGTCGCTGCCTCGAGCTGCTGCACGAAGGCCTGGGCCTGCTCGGCGTCCTCGCCCTGCAGGCCGCTGACGGCGGCGCGCAGCCCTGGCGGCAGCTCGGGGACGCTGGCCTTGGGCTGCTCGGCCGCGGGGGCCGCCTTGGGCGCCGCCTCCTCGTCCTCCTCCATGGCGTCCTCGGCCGCGGCGGCGGCGCCCCACTGGGCGGTGGCCTGCTGGCTGGCCGCCTCGAACTGCTGGCGCGCCTCCTGCAACTCAATGGTTACCTTGGCGCGGTCATCCTTGGCGGCCTGGAGCTGGGTCTCCAACTCCTGTACGTGGATATCAAGTTCTGCAACTTTCTTCTCGTGCTGCCGCACCCGCTGGAGAGCTGCCACTGCAGCTGCGGCGGGGGCGGGCTTCTTCTCTGTCACGAGCGCCGCTGCTGACTGGGCGGCGGGCCCGAGCTCCTGCTTCTGGGCGTCACTGAGCACCCCCAGGATCGCAGTGAGGATGGACTTCATATCTTGGTCCTGCGGCGCGCCCTTCTCGTTCGCCTGACTGGGCTGGGTGCTTTTACCACCAGCGTCGGGGATGTGGAAGGGCTCGCCGCACTTGCACCAGACTTTCTTCTTGGCCTTGGAAGTGTACTGCCAGGCGCCACAGGACGTGCAAACCACATATGGGCGGCAGTTCTTGGGGCGTGACTGGGTCTGATTCCAAGTCCACCCCATATTGTGGGGCGAGCGGCTGGTGGACTTGGCGCTCTGCAAAAAAGAAAGGCTTGGGCCCTAGCTCCTCGGACCTGACCGAGAAGGCAAGCTTGAGCCTCCTCCCCCTCCTCCTCCTCCTCCTCCTCCTCCTCCTCCTCCTCCTCCTCCTCCCCCCTTCACGCCGCCGCTGCTGTCCATCGCTCAGCCTCGTGCACATCCTCAAAGTTTTTGTCGCCTTCCCGTAGCACGAGGTGTGCGCGCGGGCTAGCTATTTGTTGGCAACAGGGAGGTCGGCGACGGGCTCTTCAATGCTGTCCCGCTCGAGGCCATGGATCGGGTTTGCATGCCTCCGCGCTTCTGGGCAGCCCCCTGCGCTCGTGGAGAGCACCGGTGGGATCCTCAACCAGGACGATGATGAGTGCGATGGGCCTGTCTTCCAGCACCACCACCACCACAAGTTGGAGGGGGGAAGGAGGTGGAGGAGGAGGAAGAGGAGGAGGAGAGGCAGGAGGAGGAGGAGGAGGAGGAGGAGGAGGGCCGTAGCCATTTTGGCTCAAGTGGCCTGCTCCTGGACTTCCCAACCTCGCTCGAGAGATTGAGGCGTGTCAGGTTTTGTCCCCGCGAGTCTCGTGGCCAGAGGTTCGCGGCCTCGCCCGCAACCATTTCGTCCCAAGAGTTTTCAGTGGGCCCACTCCCCAGACACCGCGTGCAATGGTGGGCTGGGGCTGTCGGCAGCGCAATGCATGGAACCGTGGTAATAAGCAGAGGTGCTTCAACTGTGGAGGATACAACCCACAGGGGCCAGTGCCAGCCTCAAACCGACCGCCACCACCGCTGCAGGGCCAGTGGAATCGCCAGCAGCGCCTACGCGGAGCATCATGGCGCGACTCCAGCGGGCAGGGCGGCTTCGGCAGGGGGCACGGCAAGGGCTGCGGCAAGGACACGAACTACCAGAATAATGGAGGGGGACAAGGAGGTGCAGCGGCGCAGCCGCAACTCGATGAGCAGCTCGATGAGCGGCAGACGGAGTTCTGGCTCGCCATGGGCGATAAGGAGTTCCAGATCGGCGCCGCCTGCTTGTCCCAGAGCCAGCGCGACAAGTTGGTCTTCCGCCGCAAGCTCAGAGCTGCATGCCTGCAGGACCCCAGACAGCACACGGACCTGCCGCCCCAGGTCGCCAAGGCCCAGAACAAAGTGTTCCAGGCCACGCAGCGAGTCTCCAGTGCCGAGGAGGCTGCTCGCGAAGCAGCTCTGGAGTGCATGAAGGCCCATGAGGCCCTGCGGGAGGCGCAGGAGGAGCTCGAGGAGGCCAGGCGAACGGCGGTCCAGCGTGTGGGGGCAGCCAGCGCGGAGCCACCCCCGACCCAGGCCCCGCCAGCAGTCTGGGACGAGGTGGCCAAGCTCTCCGAGCTCGTCAGCAAGCTGCTGGCACCTGGTGAGCCAGGTGGGGGAGGTGGCTCAGCTGAAGGAGACGCGGAGGCCTTCAAAGCTTCCCTCGACAAGCTCAAGGGGTACACGGAGCAGGTCTCGGATCGCGCTGGGGGCCAGCGCGATGTGCATGGTGACGGCCTTCATCCTGCTGGCCATGGTGGGGGCGCTGTTGAGGGAGACGCCCGCGTGGAGGAGGACTCCGAACCAGCCCAGAACCTCGACGATGGCGGGACCAACAAGCGAGTCCGCGAGCTCATGTCCAGCTGGGGCTCGGAGGTGTCGGAAGATCAGTGGGCCGCAGCGATCGTTGCGCTGTTCCAGGGGCAGGCGAAGCGGCTACGGCGACTCTAGCGCTACGACTCCGTACTATAGGGCCCCCCCAGGACGCTGAGGGGCCAGGGCAGGCCGTGCAGGGCAGCTCAGGCTCCGAGGCCTCCAGGCGGCCCTGCTCCGAGGACCAAGGCCACGCTCGCTCCCCAGGGAGAAGAGGGCCCAGGAACTTGTTCCGCCGCGAGTGGGACATTGGCTAGACTCACTCCGCCAGGCCGCGGAGAAGAGGACACAGGAACGTCAGCGACCAGGTCATCCGCTTCGGTCCGCACCCCGCTCCTTTTCTATCTCAGCAACGTCACCAGCTGGAACGAGAAGGGCCTCAGCTACATCAAGCGGGAGGGGGGCCCTCTCCACAGGGCCCACGTCATCGGGGTGGCCGAGCATCACCTGTCGGGCAAGAAATTGAATGAAGCTAAGAAGAAGTTGCCCAAGCTGGGTTGGGCCACCAAGGCCATCCCCGCCGCAGCCGCGGCAGGTCAAGGAGTGCGTGGACACGGCGGGGCATGGCTCCAGGTCCAGAAGCAGCTGGCTTGGAAGGGAGTTATCGACTACGGCCAGGAACGAGCACAATGGACGGCAGTGACGGTTCGCACAAAGGGCATGGAAGCCATTTTCGTTGCAATGTATTTGGCAGTGGGCGCGGGCCTGGCAGGGCCGAACATTGACGCGATCAACGGCATGGCCTCATACGTGCGGACCAAAGGCTTACCCTACATCATCATGGTGGATTGGACTATGACAGAGACGGAGATGGCAGGTTTAAGCCTGCCCACTTTTCTCAGTGGAATATGGCGACGACCAGACGACCCACAACCGGGAGGCCACAGAGTAATCGACTACTGCCTGGTGTCGGAGAAGATCAGTGGCCTGATCAAACTGTCATGGGACAAGGTGGGGCCATGGGCGGCACCACACTACGGCATAGTGGGGGAACTGCTCTGTGCGCCAGATTTAGTCATGCAGAGGATCCTGGTTCAACCGACGCCAGTGTTGGACGCCAACGGACCAGACCGCCCTTGGAGCTACCACCTGCAGAACGTGCAGGACAGGGCAGCCAATGGCATGGAGCACCCGCAGCTGCGGGACAAGGCGATGGACTCAGTCGACTGTGTGTACATGGAGTTCGCGCTGGCGGCGGAGGATCTGCTGCTCAGCAGACAGCCCGACAGACGGCCTGAGGCCGACGCGTGCAGAGGTTTTTGCCCTGAATCTCGCCTAGTGCACCTGATAGCCACGAAGCCCACAGGGTGGTTGGCGCAAACTAACTCGCTCTCTCACTGGTCTGGCCTGCAGGCGCGTTTGCACGCGCTGCTGGGCCTGGGGGAACGGGGGGGGGGTCTAGTTTGATGGCGGGGGCGGTGGGGGCGATCGCGATCACAGTAGGAGATTTGCGCACGCGGCCAGCAGTTTTAAAAGGTGAGTCCGACAAGCATTTAATCAGCAAGCTCCATGGGAATTTTGGCATCCTCGGGGGCCCCGGAGAGGCGCAGCTGAAGGTTTGGCCCCAGAGGGTCGATGCGGCTGTGCGTCGCATTGAGTCCCATTTTCTCCATGAGAGCTCACGATGTTTCAAGGAATGAGTGCAGGCCAGTTTAAAGAAAGGAGCAGGAGCGGTCCACCGCCACGCCAAGCTCTGGGGAACCCCATAGCGAGAATTGTCTAGGATTCAGGACCAGTGTGGACACACAATTTCGGACCCGCTCCAGAATATCCAAGCTAAAGGTGAATGTTGGCTTACTTTTCTGGGGAAAGGGAAAGGGCCACCAACAGAGCAGGCTTGGTGGAAGGACTCTCGCCGAGCCGCCAAGAAGCATAGCCTGACCCTGGACCCCATAACATGTGACGAGGTTAGCGAGGGACTCAAGTGTTTTCGGCCGGTCATAGGAATGGGAGCGGATCGCACCAACCCCCGATGGTGGCGACAGCTTCCGCATGAAGGCCTCATCCACCTCACTTTCCTCTCCAACCTCGTGGAGAGAAATCTGTGCTGGCCAGAGCAGATTTGAGTCAACATAGTGCAGTTAATGTATAAGACCGAGGAGGCAGACAGGCCAATAAATTTAACCCAAGCGCCATGCAGAGTATGGTCGCGCATTCGCAGATGGCATGTAGCAGACTGGTCGGAAAAGCACGTGCAGTTCTGGGATAAAGCAGTAGCGGGACCCAGCTGTCTCAGAGCGGCCCTCCTCAGGCAGACTAGGCTGGAGGTCGTCTCTCTGCAGGGTTTTGCCTGGTGCGAAGTGTTGTGGGATCTGGAGAAATTCTACGACACCCTGGATCCCGAACAACTCTGGCAGGTAGGTGCAGCAGTCGGGTACCCACTGACCCACCTTTTCCTCGGCCTCAGCCTCCATTTTGGGCCCCGTAGGTGCCAAGAGAATGGGGTGGTCTCGGATCCCCTGCAGGCTTTCAGAGGCCTCTTGGCTGGGTGTTCTCAGAGTGTCGACATCTCGCGTCTGGCCTTGTGGCAGATGCTCAGTGAGATGCAAGCATCTTTTAGGCCAGTCGAAGTCCAGAGCTGGGTTGACGACATCACGCAGTCCGCCATAGGTAAAGAGAGCGTTGTAGTGGAATGCGCGGCAGCCGCAGTGAAGTTTTTTTTCCAGCGCTGCGCCTCCCTGGGGCTCACCATCTCGGTCAAAAGCAAGGTGGTTTCGAATCCCCCTAGGGTCGCGGCGGCCATCAGGACCAGGCTTCAGGAAGACAGGATAGATTTGAAACATAGTCAATTCGTCAAGGACCTCGGGATCGATGGCACCTCGCATCGTAGAAGCATTGGCGCGGGAAAAAAGAGGATGCAGGCCAGCCACGACCGAGGACAAATGATTAAGCGCATCGCCAAAACATCCAGATTAGGAGTGGCGTTAGTCAAGACGGGGTACCTTCCCCAGGCCTCCTCTGGTCTTGAGAGCCAAGGCATTGGCCCGTTCCAGCTTTTTAAAATGAGAGCTCAAGTCAGTGGGATGGTTGGCCGAAAGGAAGGAGGGTGCGCGACGACCACGATTCGAACGTCCTTCCCCTCGGCCCACCAGGACCCGTTGGTTTTTGAAAGACTGAGACTTTTTCGAGAATGGATTGCCATGCTGCCAGAGCTGCTTAGAGACCGGCGCTCAGCGGTGCAGATCGCCTGGCGCAAAGCGTAGGCGGGGCTGGAATCGTCCCATTCGCGCTGGCAGCGAGTTAAAGGCACCCTCTCAGGAACGGTAGCGGCCCTGCAGGATTTAGGTTTCTCGGCGGTCTCGCCGTGAGAATGGATCAATCAGGACGGGGGCCATCTCAACCTAGAGCTTGATGACCCAGAGCGAATCGTGGATTTTGAGCTTTATGGGGCTCTGGATCAACAAGCGTGGTTGTCGGCCGCCAAGCACTACCAAGGCAAGGGCCTGGAGCATAGCCCTGACCTGTTCACGGAGAAGTGCCGCATGAGACAGCTCCGCAAAGAAGGCAGGCATGACCAGCTAGGAGTGTTTCGGATGGTCATGGCAGGAGCTTTGTGGCCAGCCAGTCGCAGGTTTGGGGGGGGGCGACGCGCCACCCTCAGACATCCTTCAATTCGCCCTCATCCCCCAGGGCCCAGCCACTTGAGCCAGTGGAGGCGCAGGAGTCAGGCACCCCTGGCCCGCAAGCCAATGCAGTCTATCAGGCCAGGGATGAGGGGCAGGAGGGAGATGAGGACGGGTTTTTATCTTTTGAGCAGATGTTGGAGCAGGCCCAGTGGGAGGAAGAGCAGGCGTGGCCTGAGCCCCCAGAGGCGCTTTTTGAGCCCTTGGAGGAAGGTTCAGAGGCCGTCAGACATCCCCGCCGCCCCACGTGGACCAGTCCAGCCTGCCCAAGATGTGGAGCAGAACAAGAAACGCTTTTTTGTTCACCAGTTCTGGGAGTGTCCAGGAAATGCGGCCCTGGAGGGGCTGCATGGAGAGCTTGCCAGCCAAGCAAAAGAGGGAATCCTGGAACACCCCTGTTTCTGGCTCCGAGGACTAGTGCCAGTCCTGTGGGTATACCCGTTCGCGACCCGCCCGATCCAGGGGCGGCCCCAGGTGGGGGGGGGGAACTTGCCCAGCAGGAGGTAGTCTCTTTGGACCACGCCACCATCGTAGCAACCAGCGGTTCAGGAGGCAAGTATCATGCTGATTTTCGGGTCCGTCGGTGCGGGTGGGTTTTTCCATCCTCAGAGGGTGGGAAGTGATTGCTTGGGCCTTCGGGCCAGTTGACTACTGGAAGCAGTCAGTGCCGATAGCCGAGTTGTTGGCAACAGTGGGGGCCCTTCGAAGAACTAGAGGCCCCGTTCATTTTGTCTTTGACGCCCAGAGCGTTGTGGATGGAATCCGCAAGGGCCCCAGCGGACAACATTCAGCAAATCAGAGGCTCTGGGGCACCTTTTGGAGTTTGGCCTAGGGCTGTGATGTGTCGGTAGAGAAAATCTCTTCTCACCAGTCCCCTGAGCAGGCAACGAGTGCCCAGGTTCCCCCAGCCAGTTGGCTAGCCAATAGGGTGGCTGACCTTTGTGCTGAGGAGGGATCGAGAGCAGCCCAACAGCCGCAGGAGGACCTGGCAGAAATTTTTGGAATTGATGATCTGGCGGCGAGCGTTCAGGCCCACCTACTGGCAGTCGCAGATCATGTAGCGCGCCAGGCTCCCGAGGTCCACGGAGCCAGCGCCAAGATGGACAGACAGCACGAGGCCAAGCGCAGGGCGCAGGCTCGGACGGAGTCGTCCCAGGCCGCCGTGCAGTCGTCCGCCCATGCTGTGCAGCGTGATGTACGAGGCAGGCTCCGTTACACCCGCTGCCTCTCTTCCCCGTCCTCTGCTTGTCCCCGACCCGTTTGGCTGGACCAACAGCGCAGAGGTTTTCCCGCCCAGATCCACATGTCCCACCAGCTCATGACCTTCAGGGGGTTCTTTTGGTGCAGGTCCTGTGGTGGGGCGGGGTCAGTGTCTTTCCAGAAGTTGAGCCAGACGTGCTCGCAAAGGTGCGCCTTGTCTACCCATGGCAGGAGAATCATCGAGACCCTCGAACGAGGGGAGCTCCCAAAAGATGACAGTCAGTGGCCCCAGCCAGAAGACGTTGGCCCACCACGTGCAGTAGTCTTCCCAGAGCTCTAGTCCAGCTCTCCAGCGCCACCTGTCAGAGGAGCTTGGCGCGCGGTTAGGCAAGAGGCAAGAGGAGGAGGAGGAGGTGGAGGAGGTGGAGGAGGAGGGGGAGGACCCCCTCCCCCTCCAACTCATGGTGGTGGTGGTGGTGGAGGAAAACGGGGCCATCAGAGTGGATTCAGCATGCGCGGGAAGCCATTCAAGAGGAGCTCAGATATGAAGATCGACGCCCCCGCCCCCGAGGTGCTGCCGCTGCTGCTCGGATCCGCCGTCTCGTCGCGGAGGGAGCGCCAGGATTTGCGATTCGTCGCTCGCTCGTCGGGTCTGCCCACTGACTACGTGCCCCTTCTGGGCCGAGTGCCGTGGGAGGCTCTGCGGCAGCTGCTGTGTCTTACCCGCCAGTGTCGGGCCTTGGCGACGGCCCGTCCCTGGAACAACGATTGGCTTACCTCTTCGAGAATTCTTCACCCTGGGGGTCTGCTAAAAGTGTCGTTTTGGATGCAGCAGCCCTGGTAGACTTGCTCACGACTTTCTGATGTGCCCTCACCCCGATCGTGATGTGAGTTCTGGCCTCAAGAGACGCTCCCCGCGTGTTTGGCCTCTCGTCTTGGCCTCGGGCAGCCCGATGTGGCGCACTTCGAGACGCTGTATGTGGTGTACCAGACTTTCAACCTTGCCCGTGAACGGGGCGGGATCGCTCATGCTGGGCACTTGCGTTCCCTGGTTGCTGTGGCCATCCGCTCTCTTTGTCTGGCCAAGCCGGCTGAAGCTCGCAAGAAACGGGTACCCGTTTGGGGCAATTGAACTCTCTTTGGTTCTGGGGGCCTGCTCCACCTCGTCACCAACCGACCCTGACTCTTTGGGGTCGACATCAGTGATGAGGATAATGGAACGAGTGGTAGTGATGCGAGAGAGCCTTGCCCCCGAAATGCGAGGTGCAGGATCTGGCGCACCACGACGTGCGTCACCCATGCCCCTCGTCTCCCTCTGTGGTTGGCAATTTTCAGGAGGAAAAGAAACACACAGACACAATTAATCCTCGATCCCCCAGAAAATATGGGAAAATATGGGAAGTGGGGGGGAAGACAAAAACCCAGAAAATGTAGGAAAATATAGAGAATTATTTTATTTGTGTGTATTTATTTGTGTGTCCTTGGGGCCCTTCAAATTTGTACGGCGATACGGCTAGCTCTGAGGATGAA